TTCAAAAATCTTTCAGTTATAATAGTTCAATTTGCACACTTTTCAGTTACAGTAACTCTTCAAGAACACACTTTTGTACAGGAGAGGAAAACTGTAAGTTATTGCCTCATTAATGATGTTTTTATATTTGACTGAGAGACAGTTGCGTGAACAAAAATAAATTAGCACTCCATATTTGTTTAAACCATAACTAGAAAAAAACTTTTCTACAAATATGTATATTTAAGATTTCCTATGGAAATTAAACCCCTGTATACACCTATCACCCAGCTTCAAAAACTGTCAAAACTTTCCAAGCTACAAATATATATATATATTTATTTATTCATTATCATGTGTGTACTATGTATTTTATATATATATATATATATATATATATATATACACACACACACATATATATATATATTATTTTTTTTTTTTAGCTTTTTTGGGGGGAGGGTAATTAGGTTTATTTTTGGAGGTGGTAATGAGGATTGAACCTGGCACGTTGTGCATGCTAACTAAGCATGTACTCTACCACTTGAGCTATACCTTCCCCCCTACAAATATATTTTTGAAGTGTTGGTAATAAGAGAGGTGACCATGTAATTTATTACCCAAACTAGGACACTTCTGAGAGTAAAAGGAGGTGTTACTAATAATTCACCAGGACAACAGGCATAAACCCAGACTGTTCTGGGGAGACCATGGCATGTGATCACCTGAGAAAAAGTTCACTTTTGAAATATTTCAGGTACTTAATAACAAACCCATATGTAAAAACATGTAGGACAAATAGTTCTGATATGAAAGAAGACATACACATCTCTTGTTAAATGGGTTTCTATATTCACATTGTTAAGGACTGTATGTGCCCGCCTAAAATTCATATATTAGAAGCCCTAACCCTCAAGGTACTGGTGTTTGGAAGTGGGGCCTTTGGGAGGTCATTGGGTCACGAGGGTGAAGCCCTCATGATGGGATTAGTGTCCTTAAGAGACAGAGCTCTCTCTCTCTTTCTGCCATATGAGGACACAGCCATCTGTGAACCAGGAAGTGGGCCCTCAGGAGGGACCCAATGGGCCAGCACCTTGATTTTGGACTTCCCAGCCTCCGGAACTATGAGAAGTAAATGTCTGTTGTTTAAGCCACCCAGGCTGTGACCTTTTGTGACAGCAGCCTGAGGAGACTTAGCCAGTCATGTATGTATGGGCTTTT